GGGGGGGGGGGGGGGGGGGGGGGGGGGGGGGGGGGGAAGAGTTTGAAGGGAACTAATAGTTGTGGAATATCTGTCTTCCACATGACAACCACTTTAAAATTAGGGTCCCCATTCTAACGCGACTAACAAGATGCTGGTGTTTTTCTACTTTATCATTTAGAAACTGTACAAAGCTGGCTGGGAAGAAGAAAAGAAGAAAGGATATGACCTGAGGCCTGATGCCATCCCAATAAAGGCTGCAAGAGCCTCCAGAGACATTGCCAGTGATGTAAGTGCTTCCACCGATGCTTATTTAGTCTAAACGAGAAAAAGAGCAAATGAGCCAAGCTCATGTGTATGCAGGAGCTGTAATCAGCTCTGTCCAGTGCTGGTGGGACCACTGTCCCATGTAACACACAAGACACCTCCCTTCACCCAGTCCAAGGATGCTCTAATTATTTGTTCATCATTCAATGTAAAAAGTGACAGGGTCTTGTTAAAATAAGTTACTTTTAGAGTGCTTAAGTTGTTTATGGGCAATTCCTAGCAAATATAGGGATGTGATCTATGCACTTTACCCAGAAGATCCATTATCAAGCTCTTTCCTCAATGTAGAGGTGCACCATGAAAAGTGGTGCCTGCAGCCTTTTCCGCTGGTTACACAGCAGAGTGGGAAAAGCTGCTTTCTAAATAACCCTAAAACAACTTATTTACACATCACGTTGGTTAACTCTGAGATGATTTTTTTTCCTCATGGACTCAAGTCTGTCAAGAAATTTGAAGTAAAAATATTTTGCTCCTGGGGCTTCCCTGGTGGCGCAGTGGTTGAGGATCCGCCTGCCGATTCAGGGGACACGGGTTCGTGCCCCGGTCCGGGAGGATCCCACATGCCGCAGAGCGGCTGGGCCCGTGAGCCATGGCCGCTGAGCCTGCGCGTCCGGAGCCTGTGCTCTGCAACGGGAGAGGCCACAACAGTGACAGGCCCACGTACCGCAAAAAAAAAAAAATTTGCTCCCAGTCCCCCCACCCCGCCAACAACTCCTCCCTTTGTAAGTTTAGAGTAGCTCTAAAACCCTACACCTATGACAAAGCTAATGGCACGTAGTGAATTATATTTTGTTCTCTTTCTTTCACTATCTTCATCACCATGTTTCTTTTCCATCCACAGTACAAGTACAGGCAAGCCTATGAACAAGCCAAAGGGAAACACATTGGCTTCCGGAGCCTAGAGGACGACCCCAAGTTGGTGCACTTCATGCAAGTGGCCAAGATGCAGTCAGACCGGGAGTACAAGAAGGCGTACGAGAAATCCAAGACATCCTTCCACACCCCGGTGGACATGCTCAGCATGGTGGCAGCCAAGAAGTCTCAGGAAGTGGCCACCAACACCAACTACAGGAACGTGATCCATGCCTACAACATGCTTCCTGATGCCATGAGCTTTGAGTTGGCCAAAAACATGATGCAGATTCAAAGTGATGTACGTGACAGCCACAACATTTGCAGAGCATTTACTTTGGATAATAAGCAAATCATGAAAGACCATAAGTAATGACATTTTGAAAATCCTGAAAGAAATTCATATGTAATTTCCCAATGAGGTGTTTCAGTTTTTACCTTAGATTGAATTTATTTTTTTAACACAAAAGGGATGAACCCTATCTATTATTGTGAGCATTATTGGATGCTAGATCAGCAATAACACATGAAATTTGGTTTCAGAAAGAATGTGTTGAAGGAAATATATCTAGCAGAGAGAGTCAGAAGTATAAAAAGTTCCTGATTAAGCTCCTGATTAAGGAGTAAGAGGTTCCTGATTAAGCTCCTGATTAAGGAGTAAGAGGTAAAACAGAAAGTCAGGTAACTTGAGAGCTACTGTCCCTCTCTCCCAGCCAGCTTTCATTTCCAGCTTTATAATTGCCTATCCTACTTACTGATGAAATAGTAAGGAGGTGATGGCTGAAACAGCTATTAGAATAAATGTGAGGAAGGCACAGAGAGTGTAAAGCCAAGAATTGAGCTATAGAGGCCCTTTGGTGGCTGGGGGAAGTGAATATAAATTATGAACCAAATGCAGGCCATGGTGAGCCTATATTTCTCTTTGGAAATGTAAGAGATGAGCTATAGCTGGGGAGGTACATAAGTACCCAAATGAAAGCAACCATGGTACAGTTATAGGGGGAAATGTCTGATTTGAGGGGAAAAAAATGAAATTTGCACAAAGTATCAGTGAGGTTTCTGGCATACCCGAAGGAGTTGTAACCATGGTGGCTGCTCAAAGGCTTATAGCAAAAGAGAGAAATGGAGTCCTCTAAGTCTCCTATTAACCAAGGGGACTTGGGGATTTTTGTAAGAAAGTTAGTCCAGCATGGTCACCTTTCTTGAGATAGTAGTCACATGGTAGATTGATCTATTTGGTATTTCTTAGCACTTTTTCTTTATGAAGGCATTGAGAGAAGCAAATAAATCACAAAGATATTGCTGCTTGTTTTAAATTCTTCATGCAAGGAAGTGTAAAAAAAAAAATAAAGTTTAGGGTTAAAAGTAATTAAAGTTGAATATACTATCAGTTGAAAACTGAAGTGGAACTTATGGAATATTAAATACCCGCTCATGGTTCTTGGAAGATTTGGTTTCTTCTCATCCTCGAACTTTTCCTCTTTTGCAGAATCAGTACAAAGCTGACTATGCTGACTTCATGAAGGGCATTGGATGGCTCCCTCTGGGCTCCCTGGAGGCTGAGAAAAACAAGAAAGCCATGGAGATTATCAGTGAAAAGAAGTACCGCCAACACCCAGACACTTTGAAGTATTCCACCTTGATGGACTCAGTGAACATGGTTTTGGCCAAGAATAATGCAAAAATTATGAACGAAGTAAGTCTTTCAATAATGTAGTGTTTCATAAGCATCAGGAATAAGCCAGGCTTATCCTACATTTAATCTACAGGTTTTGATAACAGTTTTACAGCATCATAATTAATGTTTCCTCTACCTTGAAAAAGGGTCTTGTAGTTTAAAAAAAACAAACAAAAAAGATAGAAATTAGTCCTAATAAGTGCCCTCTCCAAATGCTCAATGAACCACCCTACATAATAGACATAACAAAATAAGTATGGACTCTTTTCTTTCAATGCAGATCTTGAAAATGAGTCCCATTTGTCTAAGGCGAAGTTAGTAGAAGCTCATTATGCTGAATCAGTAGACTGTAGGGCTGATAACAACTGCGTGTTGCAGCCCACCCCTGCTTCCTTGCTCTTTTGATGGAATAAAAGAAAACTCCTAGATTACATGGCTGTAGCAGCATTCTAAGCCAGGACCTTCTCTGGGCAATGCTGAGAGCGATAGCTCTCCACCAGTAGTTCCCTGGATCATTAATGACTCCAGCCTTTAGAAAAGCCTTACTGTAGTTTGACATAATTAGCCATAATTTGATTTCAGGACCAACAAGTACATCACCCTTGGACATCTGTTTTTAAGTTGCAAATAATAAAATAATTGCAACAGCATTGGTTATATTTTGTGGATCATAGTTAGAAATGCCATTGATTAACCAAAAAGGGGAAAAATAATTTGGACCTGGACATGAAACGGTTGCAGAAAATGATGTAGAAAGATAGAGCTGTATTACGCTAAGTCTCTGAGTAAATCCTCTGGAGTCTTCTGAGAAAGAATTTTGTCAAGAAGACCAACCTCTTTGAAAGGGACTTGTTGACACAAGGCAAAAGTCTCAGTGCCCCTTTTAAGACTTAGAATTTAAACTACCACAAACATACATTTACTTTTTAAATATTAAATTAAGCCTTTCATTTTTTCAATGTTAAAGATTACCATTTTAAAATAATCATGCCAAGATGAGAATCACAGAAATAGCAAATGCTAACACTGAGAGATATCGTGGTGGTCATCAGGTTGAACCCCTTCCTTGCAGAGTTGAGGAAAGGGTGGCCCAGAGAGGCAAGGCCACCTCCCTTAAAGACACACAGCAGGTCAATGACCTGGTCTGGACTAGAACCAGTACTCTAATGACTAACTATTGCTCTTTCCATTAGAATTGTGCTTCCAATACTATAATCACTAGCCACATGTGATGACAAATCTCAGTTAATTAAAATTAATATTAATAATTTGTTCTTCATTCACATTAGCTACATTTCAAGTGACGGATAGCCCCGTGTGGCTAGGGACTGTTGTGTTGATGACACAGATGACACAGGACATTTTCATCATTGCATAGTTCTGTTGGATCGTGCTGGTCTTGGTCAGAAGTCAGAAAATTAGTTTTTGTAAATAAAATTTTATAGGAACACAGCCACAGCTATTCATCTGCATATCATCTGTGGCCACTTTTGCACTCTGCAACAGCAGAGCTGAGTAGTTCATAACAGAGATTCTGTGGCCCACAAAGCCTAACATTATTTACTATCTGGCTCTTTATGTTTGCTGACCCCTGATCTAGAAAAAGACTCTAGCAGAAGTTTTGGTTTTGTTTTTTAATCAAGCCTGGCTAAAACAAAGAGATAGCATTTTTCACCTATTAGATTTGCAAAGATTAAAAAAGTTGTGTGATATACAGTATTGGAAAGGGAGTTAATGTAAACTTCTAATCAACAGTTTTTGTTAATATTTGTTAAAATTAAAACTTCAGTTGCCCAATACCCTTCAGAGATCCTCATGTATGTGCAAAGGTGTACACACATACATACACACGGTAATATTTTTTGCAGGTTAGGGTCCCCAAAAAGAGATGCTGAGATGGAATTTGGAGTACAGGGCATTTTTCAGGGATCAGTACCAGTGAGGGGACTTGAGGATATGGGGAGGGGGAAGGGTAAGCTAGGAAAAAGTGAGAGAGTGGCATGGACATATATACACTACCAAATGTAAAATAGATAGCTAGTGGGAAGCAGCCACATAGTACAGGGAGATCAGCTCGGTGCTTTGTGACCACCTAGAGGGGTGGGATAGGGAGGGTAGGAGGGAGGGAGACGCAAGAGGGAAAAGATATGGGAACATATGTATATGTATAACTGATTCACTTTGTTATAAAGCAGAAAGTAACACACCATTGTAAAGCAATTATACTCCAATAAAGACGTTAAAAAAAAAAGGGGTGGGGGCAAGAGGGGTCTGACTGTGATGCCAGCCCTACAAAGCCTATGCCAGTGCCCCAGAGGTCTCTTGAGTGTATACAGCCTACCGGACGTGTCCTGCACCGGGTGGAATGGCCAGGCCTTTGTACCACCACTCTGATGAGTAACTGGATGGCCACCAGGGAAGAGTGTGCTCTTGAGTGAGGCAACAAAACCTTGAAGCAAGTGACAGTTTGGAGGCTGTCTGCCAATAGCTGGTGCAACCAGTCCTTCCTTGAGTGAGTGTCTGGGTTGTACATCTCCAGGCCTACCACAAAGATCATGGCATCATTGCTTATAGTAGAAAAAAACTGGAAACAACAAATTAAATGTCTATCAAAGGAGAACTGGTTAAATCAATAGGGTTACACCTCTTCATGGAATACTGCACAGCTCTTTAAATGAATGAAGTAAATTATTAAGAGGGCTAAAAGATGCCTAACCTATAATATTAAGTAAAAAAGCAAGATGTAAAACATGTTTTATATAACCTCATTTATATTAAAAAAAGGACTATATGTGGACTTTAATATGCATAGAAAATTTTAGGATGGAGATGCTATATCCAGGCTGTAAAATAGGAAGGCAGGACATTTTACTTTCCATCTTACATCCTCTCCACTGTCTTGTTTGAATGAGCACCTTTTTCCTTTAAATTTTTAAAAAATAAGAGCTAGCTAATAAAAATACATAAAATATTGATATTTGTGTACAATAATATATATGTACTAAGTGACTTCCTTTAAAACTTTTAAATACTAACTTCCACTGGTTTTTTTCTTCTCTTTTCTTTCTTTTTTCCTTCCTTTCTTCCTTCCTTCCTTCCTTTTTTCTTTTTTTTCTTTCCAGCACCTCTACAAACAAGCATGGGAAGCTGACAAGACCAAAGTCCACATCATGTCTGATATCCCCCAGATTATTCTGGCAAAGGCAAATACAATTAATATGAGTGATGTGAGTATAATTCCTCCAGTTGTCATCTTTCTTTCCTACCTGTTTGAACCAATAAAAACAAATTAACTAATTAATGGCTCGATTTTGAGAATGACTGTTTTGACAATGAGTGGGAACCCACAAATGAGAATATTTCTCTTTCTAATCTTGCTTTGCTAAGAGTAGGAGTAGGCCTGTTGATGGGACAGCAGTTAGGAATTCGAAGGGCAGTTGGATTTTGTTCTAGGAATAGGTACTTCTTATCAAACTAAGAGAAGTAAAGAGAGTGGTTTAGAGCCCAGGATAAGAGATAAGGAAAGAGT